TTGTATTTTCTATCATTCAATTCATATCAAATGTATTTTCTATCATAAAACATTCAATCAAATGCATTTCTATCAAAAACACTTTCGATCAAAATACTTTTATCAAATGTTTTTCTATCACTTGTCTTTCGATCAAATTTCTCTCTATCTTTGTCCATGAAATGAATTACACAGTAGTGTAAACATAAGCCTTAAAGTGGAAAACGTATTCTTTAAAAAAATCCAGGCAATAAGTAACCCAATAAATTAGTTTGAACGACACATTTTCCATTACTAATTTTCAATTAGTTAAGTTGAATATTCCAAAGGCGTGGATGTTGAATCTGAAACATCCTGTATGAGAGGAAACCAAAACGATGGCTATCAAACGATGTATAAATAATTTCATATTAAACGTACCTATTGTGCAAAGTAATTCTGAATGAACCCAGTTTATGACTGAATCGCCGCCAATTTTATCGACACCATCGTCGCTTCCGGAGTTTGATTATCCAATCAATCTACCGATCTAATAAATAATGAAGGCATCTGATCTAATTGAACGATAACTCGTTATTATTATATATTTCATCAGGTTCGACGTTTATTGCCGGTAAAGCACATGGAATGGAAATTATACTAGATCATTTTGCAACGCAAACGAAGAATAGAAAGTTTACAATTATACTCTGAATTACCTACTTTGCACAATAACTATTTGAAATAGGTACTTATCTATCTTTAGACCGAAATGTGTAAATCTGAATGTGACAACTTTTACTGAAATGATAAAGAAAATTCTATTCGAATTAGAAACTGAAATCCATTCAATTTTGATGGAATCAATAGTCGCGTTTTTTTGTGATTCTCTGGTGTAGGAATTGTGTTGGAACTAATAAAACGGCAAAGAATGAAGAATGACTTTGATGTGATGACAACTGTGTGAAAACCACATGGAATCAAAATGACATGATAATCATCAATAAAAAACATCAAAGTTCAGATTAGATCAATTTTTGAATCTTTGGATTGGATCAATGACTTGATGATACATATTGAATTATACTTGCGGGCTGTGGGGGTGGGTACATGGGTACTATGACTAATCAATGGGGGGCCAGGTAGCCGTGCGGACAGAGTGTCGGTATTCTAATTCGCATTCGCTTGCCGGTCGTGGGTTCGATTACCAACGACAGCAGAAATTTTTCTGATGGCCCAAGAAAGTGTTTGGGATCACATGTTAAAAGGCTCGTTAAAAGGTAAGGCACCCGTCATACCTTGCTCGCACAAGACTCTCGAAGACTTCTGAGGGTTGCTCGTAAGGGGGCAACCGAATGACGGATAGAACAATTTTAGAACAATTTTTTTAACAATAGGTAATCTTTCCCTAGTAATAAGTTTTATTCGATATTATCAAATTTTGATAGTACCAATATAGTAATGGAGAATATTGTATTGAATCATGCAGTGGGCACCATATTATGGAAATGGAAAATCGAAACTTATATTTGTTACCTACCTAGCGACATTCATGAAAAGATGGATTCATATGATGACAAAAATAAATCCAGGATGATGAATGTTTCATACTGACGTTTTTCAGAATATGTAATGAAGAATTTCAAAAAATTGAAAATTTTCATGAGATTGTTATACCAAGATGAAGACCTTTCAGAGCTATTTCAGATTTACTCCTGAATATTTCCATGAGTTATATGCACATTTTTCCTCTTTTGTTGGCACATCTTCTCCATTGGTAGGTACCTAAGTACCTATTCCCTATACCGTATCTACTATTTCTATTCTACAAAGTTTTTTATCACCACGAAATTATTATGACGTATGTCAAATACCCTTATTTGTCAAACATTCCAAACATTCCACCACGCATTCGATGTTCTGAGACCGAATGACCAGTGCCACCAGGATGATAAAAAATATCACAGAATAGTCAATAAAACAGCGATTCTGTCCCACTGGTGACACTAGTAATGTCAATAAAACGCAACTAATATTACTCTATGAAATTTCAAGCAGCTGGCATTGCAATTCGGGATAGAAAATAACTCGTCGCCCCACCTGACGGCGACAACCTCAACACTTCTGAGCGGTTTGATTCGATGATATGACCAATAAGCAGAAACAAAAAACAAATGTGAACCAATGAAAGCAAAGTAAGCAGGCCACTTTGACAGCTTTCAAGAACTCCGATGGGTGGCGTACGCTTATTTTCATAGGTCCGTTCATTTTCATAAAAAACGCTCAATTTTTAACTTTGCTGAAATAAATCTTCCTCAAAAGTGTCGCTAAAGTTTCGAAGAAAATGCTAGTAAAGTCACGTACAGTCCTTGAAGTATATTTTTCTTTTCATCTATTATAAAGGATGAGAAAGAAAATGACCAGAAAAAAGTATGTTGGCGCGGACTTGACAAGCGAGTGACTTATCAGACTAGATATTTAGCAAGGATTTCATCCTCAGAAATTTCGCATTATTATAATAGTTTTAATAAAAAAATATACATATACGTACATTTTATGTTCCTGCTTTCTCAATTACTTTCAGAATGATAATTTTCACATACTTCAATGTCTGGACATGGTATGACGCAATCCTATTCACATCAATTGACGTCATCCATAGAAACACGATTAAACTTGCATATCTCGGTGAAGTTAGTAGTTGAAGCTCGATAGTCTCAAGAGATTGTACGCTATAGGTATCCTAAGAAGTAATGTCAATAATCATAGGTGTCGCTGTTCCGTTCCTGCGACTATATTGAGTAGATTGAATAGAGAGACAACAATAGACCTCAAATGAATGCCGTTTCCAGGATGTCATTCGTGGTCAAGTCACAGAGTAGCTAAAAATCTGAAGGGTATCTCCCATGTAGTGATGAATTTGCGCCTTCGAAGTGCCTACCTGATGTTAGGATTAGATATTTGATACTTTCATTTCATAATCTATATCATCATAATCATAATCAACGGTGACGTGAGTAGTGTGAAATTTCTGGGGGTACAGATTGACCCACTGCTGCAATGGGGTGTACATATTGATGGGGTGGCAAGCAAATTAAGGAGTGGCTTATTTGCTCTTCGCTCTCTAGCTGGTAATGTCTCTATTTCTTCATTGAGGACAGCTTACTCTGGAATGTTCCATTCTGTGATGTGCAGTGCGATATTGGTATGGGGGCACGTACCACAGTCAAAGAGAATATTTGCGTTGCAAAGAAAGGCTATGAGAATTATTGCAGGACTGGGGTATATGGATGACTGCCGTGAGGTATTTGGTGAGCTTGATGTGTTGACTCTGCCATGTGTATACATACTCGAATGCCTGATGTACGTTCACAAAAATAAAAATTCATATAGGACTCACGCTGAAAATCACGAAATTCAGACAAGAGGTAGGAATAGGTTAATACCAGTTCATCAACGTCTAACAAGGTGTCAAGACGGCCCTGGGTACTTGGCTGTAAAATTTTACAATAAAATTCCTATCAATATCATAAATTTAGAATTTGAAAATTTCAAGAAGGAAATAAGAGGTTTACTCAATCAACGCAGGTTTTATTCAATAGATGAATTTTTGAACTACAACTTCTGATAAGAAACGAGTTTTAACATAACTTTAAGGTACTCAGTACAGTGTCGTAAAATTATTTTGTATTAGTATATGTATATTTTATATTTTTTGTAACAGTAATTGAATTATGTATTATGGCTTGACGTGTGTAAATACAATTGTATGTTTAACATAAATAAATGAAATGAAATGAAATGAAATAATCTTAGACTCACGAGTCCCAAAAGACGGATTCTAATAGTTCTGTGTCCAAAGAGCAAAAAACAGAGACAAAGCATTGACAAAGTGAAATAGAACTGCATGGGGAAAACAGATCAGGTGGATGCAACTCCATATAGGAGGTCTGACCAATGTACCACTATTGTCGTCACTCTATTTATAAAGTCATAGACCTCACGCTCTAGTAATGCCAACTGGTGAGATTGAAAATATTAGCCTTCATTGCAAAAAACTGTTCTTCTTTCAATTCTCATGACTTGTATATCGACATTATGGAAAAATATCTCCTGAAAAACGTTGCAGCAACACTATCCAAATAAAACCTTATAAGATATACATTTAGGGGTGAAATATCTAGAATGAATACTTTAATTTTTCGATTCGATTCTTATTTTAGTTGCACTTGCTTCAGCGTCTAGTTCAATTAACCGATTCAGTCATTCATGTAGAAATAAATACAAAAGTTGGAGTGCTATTTGTTTACTGATTTTTGTACAAAAATAATCTATCAAACTTAAACAATAATCTATATATCACAAACGTAGGCTATATCTGTCAAAAGTCGTAACAAAGAACATCAGTAGTCTACTACATAAACAATTCAACTTTCATTGAATTCGAATAAATGTACTCATAGTACATTTTATGTTACTGCTTTCTCAATTACTTTCAGAATAATAATTCTCACACACTTGATATGTCTGGACATAGTTTAACGCAATCCTATTCACATCAAATGACGCCTTCCAAAGAAACATGAGTCAACTTGTTTATCTCGGTAAAATTAGTAGTTGAAGTTTGAAAGTCTCAAGAAATTGTACGTAATAGGTATCCTAACAAGTAATGTCAATAGTCAGACTCAAAGGTGTTGCTGTTCCATTACTGCTTCGACAATTGACAGACGACAGCGCAACCTCCACCCTGCTTTCAATAATGGTGGTCGCCGTATTCTCCCCCGTAGCTTCCGATTTGTTGTTTGGGTTCACCGATTTTGTGCACGACTGCGTTGAAACCGTTGTGTTTGTCCGCCTTGTACTCGACCACCCTGGTGGTGCCGTCTGCCTTCTTCAGCGAGTACGACTTTTGACGTTGACATAGACCTCATGCTCTAGTAATGCCAACTGGTGAGAATGAAAATATTAGCCTTCATTGCAGAAAACTGTCATTTTTTCACTTCTCATGACTTTTATATAGACATTATGGAAAAATATCTCCTGAAAAACGTTGCAGCAACACTATCCAAATAAAACGTTATACGATATACATATAGGGGTGGAATATCTAATATAAATACTTTCGTTTTTCGATTGTACCCACCCTATTCTCCGTTTAGTTTGCACTTGCTTCGCCATCTTGCTAGGCCAATGGAGTTAACTACCGACTCAGTCATTTATGTAGAAATAAATACAAAATTATAAGTGCTATTTGTTTACTGTTTTTTTCGTACAAAAATAATCTATCAAACTTTAACTATAATCATTATATCACAAACGTTTGTTATATCTGTCAAAAGTCGTAACAGAAAGAACATCAGTGATTTACTACATGTACATACAATCGAACTTTCATTGAATTTAAATAAATGTATTTATAGTGAATTAGTCTGTGCATCTTTCAGTACTGCTTTCTCAAATACTTACCGAATAATTATTTTCACATACTTCAATGTTTGGACATAGATTGACGCAATCCTATTCACATCAAATAAAAATAAGTCAACTTGATTTTTTCGGTAAAGTAAGTAGTTGAAGTTTCTTAGTCTCAAGATATTGTGCGTAATAAGTACAAGAAGTGATTTCAATAATCAGACTCATATATGTCAGTTATGTTCTTTCGTTCTGAACTGAATTATTTTACTTGATCTGAACTGAATCAGCTAACATGCATTCTACCGAATTACAGTATTCCGAAAGATGGAATGTTAACTGATTCAGCTCAGGTCTTGTGGAATACGAATTGAAAGAATATCAATTTAGCTGTTCATTTCCTGCTTTGACAATTGACAGACGACAGCGCAACCTCCACCCTCCTTTCAATAATGGTGGCCGCCGTATTCTCCCCCGTAGCTTTCGATTTGTTGTTTGGGTTCACCGATTTTGTGCACGACCGCGTTGAAACCGTTGTGTTTGTCCGCCTTGTACTCGACCACCCTGGTGGTGCCGTCGGCCTCTTTCAGCGAGTACGATCCCTTGACCTCATCCCCGTCGCGCTCCTCGTACTGCTGCTTCTCGTCCCCGGTGTGGGGGTCGTGTACGGCGTAGTTGAATTTGTATTTGGGGTGTTCCTGGAAACCGAGAACGAATTAGGGCCAATGTATACAGGCTCATTCACGGTGGATGGCACATTAGACGTTTCTGGAGAACGTAACCTAGAATTATTCTGAAAATTTCACACCAAACATTTTCGATCAATTCAAAGCCTGTATTTCGTATCGTTACCATGGCAACTAAACAAATTTCTTGGAAATTTTTTCCTCCTCCTCGGGGGACGGAGCATGAAATTACACTGGAAATTTTTTGACGTTCATAGGTTAAGTGACATTTACATTCAACTTCAAATTATTTCGAGTTCATTCTATAAGTCAATAAATGAAAATCATTTATCAACAGTTTAGCATTATGTAAGTATACTTGCAATATAATATTTCAGTTTGAATTTTTTTACCGAATACCACTTAAGCTTCAATTAATTTCCGGAAATAATTGAAGCTTTCGTGATATCATAAGTGAAAATTGGGTTTCTTGGATGATTAGTTGTGTTCTATCAACCTAAAATATTCTCAACACTGCGACGTTGCCGCTTATATTGAAAAGTAGCAACATCTTTGATTTTTTGAATGGGACATCCTATATATTATTCCATTTTCAGATTCTTCCTGAAAAGCTGATTTCATCGATCTATTACACTTGGGGTCTAGCGGGAATGATAACAAAGATATAGGGTGTGAAAAATCGAGATTTTCCAACTTCATGAATTTCTTGTGTCGTAACTCTTCATAATTAGTCAAAACGGTTTTCATGACCCCATCTCAACTTTTTATGTACTATCAATTGATATTTAATTGAAATAGATACAGGGTGGTCAAAAATCTTAATTCTGAACCACTCTGTATTTATCTCAATTGAATATTAATTGATAGTGAACAAAATGTTGGGATAGAGACATGAAAACCGTTTTGACCAATTATGAATTATGTCATTGCTAGACCTCGAGTGTTATGGGTCAATGAACTCAGCTCCTCAGGGAGAATCTGAAAATGAAATAATTTACAGGGTGTCCCATTCAACAAATCATAGTTGTTGCTACTTTTCAATAGAATATTTTAGGTCGATAGAGCACAATTAATTATCCAAGGCATCAAATTTTCAGAATAATCCCAAGTTCCGTTCTTCAGAAACGTCTAATGTACAGGGTGGCCAACTAAGACTCCAGGGTTTGATTTCTCTGTTGTCTTGAGAGATACAAAAAAAAGTCATGTATCAAAATTGAAGTAATAACCGAGCTTCACATTTCAAAATTTCTTTGGAATACACAGGGTGTTTCGTAAGGTCACAGCACATCAAAGCTATGTTTTTTTCATTGGAACAGCCTATATTTTATTTCATTTTTGAATTCTCCCTGAAGATCTGATTTCAACGACCCATCAAACTTAGGGTCTAGCAGTGAAAGTTACTGACATATAGGGTGTGCAAAATCGAGATTTTCCAAGTTCAGGATTTTTTTCTGTCGAAACTGTTCATTATTCGTCAAAACGGTTTACATGTCCCTATCTCAACTTTTCACTCACTATCAATTGGTGTTCAATTGAAATTGATACAAGGTGGTAAAAAAATCTAAATTTATAATTTGTTCCAAGTAAATGTCAATTGAACACCAATTGATGGTGAGTAAAAAGTTGAGATAGGGACATGTAAACCGTTTTGACGAATAATGAACAGTTTCGGCAGAAAAAAATCCTGAACTTGGAAAATCCCGATATTGCACACCCCATATGTCAGTAACTTTCACTGCTAGACCCTAAGTATGATATGTCGTTGAAATCAGATCTTCAATTCAAAAATGAAATGAAATATAGGGTGTTCCAATGAAAAAAACATAGCTTTGATGTGCTGTGACCTTACGGAACCCCTGTGTATTTTAAAGAAATTTTGAATTGTGAAGTTCGACAACAGAGGTATCGAACTATGGATTCTTAGTTGGCCACCCTGTACATGCGTGAATCAGCCTGTATACTGTCTATAGGTTAATCGAGGAGGTGGCACATTCATTATTCCAGATTTTCTGGGATTTTCTCTCCTCGTTTCTATAAAATAAAAATATGAATATTATTTCAATATACGTGTAGTAAGGACAAATCAGATGATTTGCCTCAAAATGTTGAAAACGGGAGCAAATTCGTTCCCGAAAAGTCCAAAGCTAAGTAAAAATTCGACCTTTTTTCTATATACCTATATTTCTCTCCCCCAAACCTTTTCTAATACAAATTGTTACTGACAAGCTAGTGAATTTTTCTTTTAGGCACTTTGATACTTTTTTTTTTCTACGAGCGAATGCGCATGCGTACATATTGTATCACGTGATACACTGTGACCAATATGAGGTTTGGCCCATTTTATTGCTCTTATTATCAAATTTTCAACGTTTTTATTTCCTTGTGAGTAAATATTCATTGTGTATCTATATCCCAAGTCATTGTTGGTTTTTCTAGAACTAAAATCTTGTAATCGGCTGATGATGGGCTTATATAAGCCCGAAACATGTACCTGAGTGATTGATCTCTGATCTTTCTAATAAATGTTGTGGAGATGACTTTGGGTTTATTCATCTATGAACTATACCACTCCACTTTGAGTTACCATGGACTTCTTCCAAAGATCATCCTGTATATGTGTCTCGACAAATATTTCTTTGATATTAATCAAATAATTATATTGGGTTTGGACTAAATTGTTGACTAAGTAAGTTAATCAATTTCTTTATCTAGTCAGGATAGTACATTCCACAACAAGTGTAATGAAACTATATTCCGAACGCGCGAAAGCTACGGTTCGCGAATTGGAAATTGAAATAATTTTCCGCAAATATGTGCTAGCGTAGACTTTTTGTTGTTCATTCTGTTGAAAGAGAATTTTTTGAGTCGTTTTTGGAATGTGGATTTTAGAAGAGTGTGCATTTGCTGATTTGTTCCTCACATTAATCTCCTCGTGTCCACCGTCATGACCGCCATAACCTCCTTGAAGGGCTACACCTTCATAGCCTCCTCCGTAGCCGCCTTCGTAACCACCACCATAACCCTCATCCAGTCCACCTCCCAGATATCCAGCATTGGCGAGGGCGACACAACAGAGGGCCAAAGTGATCTGTAATCATTTTATTATAAATAAATCATTAAATAGTAAATTGCATTACAAGAGTTGCAAAACGCATATTACGCACGAAGTGGAGAGAGATACACGATGCCGCGTAGCGCGTGCGTTATTACTTTACAACTCGAGAAATGTACTATACTTTTTCTACGACTACACGATACTTCCTTCAGGATAGTACAGACTTATTGTACCAAAACACTTAAAATATCGTATACGTCTCCCGACACTTTGAGCATGAAAATGTACAAATTATAATGCTTGTGTTTTTTTATTGGTAAATCGCATAACGAGCCATTGTCCTCGATTTGAACTAAAATGAAGCCCATTTTCATATCATTACAACAAAATAACACATTTGATATAGAATCAACATTTATAATAGGATGGGAACCAGCAGTATTTTTCAATGTCTTATTTGATAAAGTTTTGTTAATTTTTTATCTGTTGTAATAATATAGCCTATCAACAAAATCCAATCCTGCCACCTCAATCGCGGGACAACGCTTATCAGCAGCTGATCAATGTTGTTGAAAAAACGAGTAAATGTTAAACATGATAAAAGCTGAAACTTTACCAATCGTTCAATGACATATCAGTTAAAAAAGAAATCAGCTCCTGCCAACTGTTTCGTAGAACGATGTACTCCTGGTAGCGTTACTATGACAAACAAACATGTTAATTCATTCATTATTCCAGATTTTTTGGTATTTTCTCTCCTCGTTTCTATAAAAAAAATTATGAATATTATTTCAATATACGTGTAGTAGGGACGAATCAGATGATTTGCCCCAAAATGTCACTGCGTTTAAAGAATTTTCCTATCAGAGAGCTAAAAGAAAAATTCACCAGCTTGTCAGTGACAATTTGTATTGAAAAAAGTTTGGAGAAGAGAAATAAAGGTATATAGAAAAAATATCAAATTTGTACTTAGCTTCGGACGTTCCGAGAACGAATCTGCTCCCGCTTTCAACATACTCACTGAGAACTGAAAAGTGTCAGGACAAATACGAATTTGCAATACTAAAAATCAATTTTTTATGTTGAAAACGGGAGCAGATTCGTTCCCGAAACGTCCAAAGCTAAGTAAAAATTTGGTATTTTTTCTATATACCTTTATTTCTCTTCTCCAAACTTTTTTCAATACAAATTTTCACTGACAAGCTGGCGAATTTATCTTTTAGGCTCTCTGATAGGAAAATTCTTTAAACGCAGTGACATTTTGGGGCAAATCATCTGATTTGTCCTTACTACACGTATATTTAAATAATATTCATATTTTTATTTTATTGAAACGAGGAGAGAAAATCCCAAAAATCTGGAATAATGAATGGACCACCTCCTCGATTAACCCACAGACAGAATGTTAATCCATGTTTGTTTACCATAGGAACGGTACCATGTATTAATTGATTGTTTTATACGAAGTGTGGTCGACCGACTTTTAGCTACTTGTTTTCTTTGATATACTTCTAATATTCGAAGTTTTCTTAAATTTTTTTTTTCAATGAAAGAGTACAAATGAGTGCAAAATAGAAACAATAGTATATTACACACTTTTTATGAGACATATTGTCGCACTAGTTTTTGGGGAACTCGCTTCGCTCGTCATACTCCAAACAACGCTAATTCTGATCATTCCATGTAATGAGAATATTTAATACAGTCTTGTATTATTTAAAAACATGGAAAATATTTTTTTTCAACAGTCAAAATAACTCTCGATGACGTGACATACCGATAGGCACTATTAATTTTGTTGCTCAAAAACCAATGAAAATTGGTACAACACAATTTACCTAGAAATAAGAATTTACTCAAGGATATTGGATGACATTAAAAACTAAAGGAAAACATGATGAGATGTTTCCCGTAGTTTTAAATGCCTTTGCAACGTCATCTAATGGCCTTGGCAATCGCGAATACTCAATACATAAGTCGTATCGTATATAATTGCCTCTGTATAATCGAAGATAATAATGCAATGGATTGATCACGGTATATGACGTCACACGCTGTCCCGCGTTTTTCATGCTATGAAAAATCGTGAATTTCAATAATTATTTAAAAAAATGAACATATTTCCGAGGAGAGAACGGTTTGAAAAAGTTTTGCCTAGTACCTGGAAATGATGAAGTGAATTTCAGTGAAACAAGCTCATTATATTTCTCATTTTACTTCACTTTATGTCGCTCCCTGTATATTTTTTCAGATAGTGAAAATGTATCTGTTGATTCGAAGGGGAAAATATTTCCCTGTGAGGCTGTTTTTGTACTGTCGGAAATGAAAGAGTTATAGGGAGTGGCACTTGATAACGTGTCGCCCAGTACAGGGTGTCACATTTTCGATGTTCTCACGGGAAATCTCACATATTTCCAAATATAGAGATTTGGCACGTTGGCACTCTTTTGTGTAACTTATACGATACCACAAACACAATTTTCATACTACACTTCGTTTTAAATTTACAGGGTGAAATTGAAACTATTGCACTTTGTGACCTCCCATGTATCTCAGAATCTTTCAACTCATAGGAAAAGTAAAAAGTGTCTAAATACTGTCTGTAGGTTAATCGAGGAGGTGGTACATTCATTTTTCTTGTTGTTGTATGTTGTATCCCAAAAAATCAAGTAAAATAAAAATTGTTCCATTTTTTTTAAATAGAACTCCCTGTATATAGTGTCATTCATAAAGTCGGCATCATATTGGAAAAACTTTTATTAATGACTTATTTTGAAATTCGAGTTGGACGTCAAGTTTTACTTCAAAAAAGATGAAAAATGGCCTACTCAATCGGGGTCACGTGACTTTCACTACATGTCAAAAGTGACATTTTTTCAAATTAATCGCTGAAAGTAGGCTTATTTGTTCGAATATCAAAAAAGTTTACTTGAAAAAGTTGTTTCTATTCGAATTTTACATATGTGACTCGAATTTCATCTTTCTATTACATTTTTTAGATTTCGATATTTTTTAAAAATTTTCGAAATTTCTGTAATATTAAAAAAATTGTAAATTCTATAAAACTACTTCATACCAGTAGCTTCATCATGTTACTAATTTTCAATTACTAATTATCACTAATTATCGACAAGAATATGATTTTCTTCAGAAAATGATACTCCTCTTCAAAATTCTGTTATGTTTGATGCAAACATAACATCAAAATTCTGTTATGTTTGAGTCAAGCATTTAGAAACGAAATTCATTTAAATTTATTTTTTCAGTACTGAAAAGATCAGTTTAAATGAATTTCGTTTCTAAATGCTTGACGATATATCAACTTTGCATCAAACATAACAGAATTTTGAAGCGGGTATTATCATTTTCTGAAGAAAATCATATTTCTGTCCATAATCAGTGATAATAAGTAATTGAAAGTAAGTAGCATGAAAAAGCTACTGGTATGAAGTAGTTTCGTCGAATTAACAATTCTTCAAATATTACAGAAATTTCGAAAAATTAAAAAAAAAATCAAAATCTAAAAGTTGCAATAGAAAAATCAAATTCGGGAAGCATGTGTAAAATTGAAATAGAAATAACTTTTTCAAGTAAACTTTTTCGATATTCGAACAAATAAGCCTACTTTCAGCGATTAATTTGAAAAAATGTCACTTTTGACATGTAGCGAAAGTCACGTGACCCCGATTGAGTAGGCCATTTTTCATCTTTTTTGAAGCAAAACTTAACGTCCAACTCGAATTCCAAAATAAGTCAATAATAAAAGTTTTTCCCACATGATGCCGACTTTATGAATGACACTGTATCTTTTAATACTTGAAACTCAAATGCTTTTCGCACTTTAAAAATATATAACATTTACACGATATTATGAGTATTAGCCATGTATTTGGATGATTTCAAGTGTTTCAGTAGGGTTCCAAGATAAGCCTTATAAATACGTGGGGCAACATTCTACAGATCGCAAATTTTTATATCTACCTTGTGGCTGATACTGTGCTCAATCACAAAAATAGTTTTAATTTTATCAACATTCAACATTTACCAATATTCAGCAATATTTATATAGACTATAAAACTTGTGGACCTAATTAGTTAGCAGCTATGAATAAAAAAGTAACAGCAGAATGTTCCACCTACCTGTCGAAGTTAACAAATTTTTAAAACAATGACGAATCATAATCCCTCTATGTTACAATCGTCTTCAAAGAACATGTCGCACATGGACGGTGTCAGCTCTCTTTATCACCGCTGCAATAAGATCGCTGATACCGTCCAAATTCGACATGTTCATCAAAGTCCAGTGTACAACTAAATAAAAATTCTCTTTCATTTTGAGATTGGAATACTATCAACATTTTCTGTTTGAGTTATGAGCTTGAATTCCGTAATTTTTGTTTGTTGTATTTTGTTATCAATAAGAATCAATCTTTTGTTTTTAATTTCACATGTCATTGCCAATCGCTATTAGACACTCTGATCCTAAATCAATAACTGCACATTTTCACTCAAAAATCACACAAAAATAAGCAACACTCACTTTTGTGAAGGCAAGCATTTTTTTGAGGAGGTGATATTTTTTCAGAGGGACACAGAACTGGAACTGATAGAATACAAAAAGTCGTAGAAGCTTTTATAGTAGACACCACCCGTTTTGGTCAAGATTCTCCCCTGTATTCTTCCTTCCTGTACTTTCTCTATTTCGCCTGAGAAGCACGGTTCTTGCAATTTTGCTATTCTCTTTATTCGCGTGTGTCCATTATAGTCCAGTCATTATGCATATCCACATTGAAAAGTTCAGAAACTGATAGTACATTGTTTTATTAAGATCAAATGTGACACTTAGTTTGACAAGCGATATTTGCGTTTGCGAGGCGGAGCGAAAGCGAAGCCGAACATTATGTTCCGAATGAAACATGCTAATTTTCTGCAATCGAAATAATTGATATCTAAATAATAAAATAAAATCTCTGGTAGAATTCCATGTTTGCTGGAAGTGGAGTGGAATTTTTCAAAAGGAAGAAGGAAAGCTC